AAGATCAAAAATGATTTTATCTTTATTTTTTGTTACGTAAAGACGATTGAGGAAAATGAAGCACATAAAAAATAATATATTTGATTGAAAACTTTTAGTGTATGATATTTATACGCGAAATCTACTTTCTGTTCCAATGAAAACAAATATCGAATAATGAACGTATTGTGTTATCTGTATTAAATTAAATACCATCACGACGTGTCGTAGTGTTATTGATACTTTCTAAATCGATTGATGTTAGACCACCATTGAAGACCTGGAAGCACTCAACGGTCGTTTTGATGCCGACACAGCGGTTTAGAGGTTAAGCGTCTTCACGCGATACCGGAGGTCCTGGGTTCGAATCCTGTGGATGCTCACTGTTGAGGAGTCCCACAATAGGACGAAACAGTCGTCCAGTGTTTCCGGGATTTTAGTGGTGGTCTAACATCGATCGATCATAATCTCAATCAAAAACCTAACCATCTCTACAACCCCATACTGTTAACTTTCTAAATCAGCGTAATTTATTGTTTATCACATTGTATTTTTTGTTTTACTAAAGAAGTTGTATAAATGATTCTAAAGATGCAAAGATACTTCCTAATGGTACGAGGTATTATTACTGTAGATATGGATGTAAAGAGGTATCAGAATGCTACCATGGTGTTATTCCAGAAATGTACTTAGATGTAAGTGAATTTCATTAAGTGATACAATTACTGTTTGATCTAACAAAATTTGAAAACATATTAAGCTTTCTGAAAAGTTCCTATCGTTTTTCTATTTTATTCTGAAGAATATTTAGTGTTTATTTATCCTTTATTGTAAAATTTATGAAGAATTCACTTCATTTCGATTAGCTTTAATTTTTCTTTACTTCTTATAAGGATAAAAAATTACGAACACTGATTACATCTATATAGACATTATTATTTGCAATTTTACACTGTGAAGATTCTACTGAGTAGAAAGAAATTTTAGTAAAACGATTCGCTAACATCAGCACAAAATAGCCATTACTTATACAGAAGTTAAATTACATTTCTAAGCAACATAAATCTGAGTAGAATAAAGACAAAACAAAACAGAGAAAAATAAGCTCAACTTTTTGCTTACCATAGATAATATCAAGGGTATTTATTATTTATAATGTAACAATCGTTAATAAAGCGATTTCCGTTTTTTTGTTTCATTCTCAACCACTCAACAGCAAAAACGATTTCTTTTCTAGTTTAAAGGTGATTTTTCTGAATACTCAGCAAATTACCAATGCAGCTACTTAATAATAAAAACTGAAAACTAATAATTTAATATTTATTCCATTGATAAACAATTAAGCCATTAATCATACTAATAATGTGCGATGAACATTAGGGTTTATTCATGAGAACAATTAAATTTTATATGCTTGAAATGGTTTGAGAAAATATAGTTGTTGTCTACCGTACGTCTTATTACTTGAAGCCTCAATTAATTATTCTCTGTAGAGGAGTATGTAAATCAATTATCAGGTATTGTAGAAATGCAAGATTTATATATTTTTTCACTTTTATTATACTACTCACTAAATTACTTATAATTTATTATTTATAACTAGTACTGCCATACATTTGAACATGGACAACCCAAAATAAGTGGACGTCGTGGACAAGGCATAAAGTTTCATCACTTATTATATATTATTGATTCCCAGACAATTTCCCTTTGTCGGAGTGGCAATACTGTGGGTTATGCACAATTTTGCAGGTTGGATGGACTAACAGACAGGTTAGTTGATTACGACAAACAAACGTAGAAGAATCATATTTATCTGTATTGTTTCTCTTTACTAACTAGTAGGAACAAAATTTATAAACTTTATAATTAGCACAAGTTCTAGTTGTCTATACAATATGTACTCGATGTTATGACGTGAAATCAGTTTTGTAAATTATGTAGTTACGGAAAGGCACTTATATAATGTTAGTTTGGAAATACGAATTGATTGTTTTTCACTTAATATACACTTCGAGAACCAGTGAACATTTATTTAGCATAAATTTATTGTTAATGTTTTAAAAAAAGTGCAATGTTTGTGGAATAAGACTAAGTTCATCATTTTGTCTAGTCATTCTGTCATAGGACGAATGCTATTTAAATGAGGATTTTATATTTCAAGCATTTAAATGTAGTCTCCAGTCAGAAATCATCTAACCTGGAAACTTCATAGAACCAAGAATAACCATAAACTTTGTCTATTTTTTACTTGAAACTTCCTAAACTTATCTTTAACTAGTCACTAAACTTCCGGATTGAAAGTAATTGTTGATAATAATGATGATTTTTAGACAAATTTTTCTTCAAAACACATGAGATGGCATAGTAAAGTTTGCACTGGTGCGGCTTTACTTATTCACTTTACTCCTTTAAATGCTGACTTTAGTGTCAGTTCTTCTTTTTCATTCTTCAATTTTTATTCCTCATACTTCGATTTTCATCGCGTTTGATACAACAGTCCATTTTGTTTTTTTTGGTTGATTTCTTCTCTTGTTGGCGCTAACTCCAGTGTAGATGATAACTTCTTGACTAAGTGACATGTTAAACGTTTGACGAACGGTAGTTAGTTAGAGTATAATTTACGATTTTGTACAGTTTAGTAGTAATTTTATTTATTTCAATTTTTAGGCCAATAGCTGGCTATACAAATCTTTGTCCGAATAACATACAACTTGGTTATGAAAATATTAGACTGGCTATCTCAACTATGGCACACGAATTGGGTCACGTTTTGGTAATCTGCATTGATGTATTTTTAAAATAAGAATAAATAGATTTTTCTAAACTGATAGCATAAAAATGTGTATTTAGTCACTATTTTAACTAAACCTATATTGATGGTCAAACACATAAGTAACAATTAATGACTACCGGAACAGATATTTCTAGTTAAATCTTTAAATTTATTCATTATGTCAGCGTAGAATTTAGAGAAATTGAATCGTCAATTTTGAATTATGATAGCGAAATGTTATCATAGTCCCAGAGAGCCTCAAGGCGGAATTTGAATGAGTTTGAGAGATTTATCACAAAGTTATTACTATATGATCGTTTCTTAGAGTATTGGTACTAAGAACGTAATATGTTTATAATAGAATGTTAAGTTGATTTTCATTATACTAGCTAGTTTGACATTTAATGATATACTTTTAATATGGGAACTCACTTTCTTCTAGTATTCTCTTGTATTTTACTAATCCAATCAATTTTTCATTGATATTTCAAAAAGGGTTTCAACTCGGAAGCTTTCAGATATATGCGAGACGAGCGTGGTGAACCAAGAACGATACGTGAACCTGCTACGAATGAGCCTATTTTAACGGATCCACTAGGATACAGAATTCCAGAGTGAGAAATATATGTTTTGATATAAAATATGGGTTATTCAAACTTCATTATTACGTTTAGTTTGAAATGATAGATTTAACAGATTCTCTAATTTTAAAGTATCATCCATTGAAATATAAGCTTGACTTTTTAACAGACTGAAGTTGAAATTTTGTGTGAACGTTTTTAAAAGTTTTATATCACCCATGATCTTCCACAATAGACACAGCAAACAAAAATAATATTCTATTATACAATGAATCCTATAAAGTACAGTTTATTTCTTGGCTAAAAGAATGTGTTATTGGCGAGACTCTAATTTAAGGACGAGCCAATCAGAAGCGTTTGAGCCATTTCAGGGTCACGGAGCCAAGTTTAACGCATGATGCTCACATACGATCGGTTTACAGCGGATTTTAGAGAAGAGGTTATTATTGAGAGGCTACAAGAGATGGGACTACTAAGAAGTTCTTGTACTTGTGACTGCGGTTATCAGATGACTGCAGTAAAGTGTGCAGACCACCGCGGTGAGATTATATTCCGTTGTCCTTCATGTTGGAGGAAAAAGTCTGCTCGAACGGGGACTTTCTTTGCTCGATCGCGAATGAAATTGAGACAGATCATGATAATAGTTGCGAGTCGGGTAATAAAGACACCAGTAACACTGGCTGCGGCATTCGCAGATGTTACTGAAACCTTAGCAGTCCAGTGGTATGAGTAATGTCGTGACATATGCGCAACTAAAATGACAAGTATACACCAATCATTCGGAGGAGTAGGATGTATCGTGCAGATAGATGAAACGGTAGTGAGAAAACGAAAATACAACAGGGGGCGTAGTATAAAGGAAGATTGGGTAAGTAGCATTTTCGTAAATATACTTGACAGATATTTGGGATTTATGATAGATCAACTCGAAAGGGACATTTTCAGATGGTCACAAACCGGCAAGCAATCACAATAATACCAATAATACAGGAATACGTGCTGCCGGGTACTAGGATATATACGGATGACTGGAGAGCATACAGATGTCTTCAAAGACTTGGATATGTCCATCACGTTGTAGTCCACAAACGTCATTTCGTTGACCCTACAACCGGGGTTCATACTAATAACATTGAAGCGATGTGGTCAAGATTGAAGGAGTTTTTAAGACCATATCACGGCTCCAAAGGTCGACTATTATGGAGCCATATGAATAAGTTCTTATACCGTATGCAATATGATTTCAAAACATCTGAACCTTTATCAAATCTTAACAAGTTTTTAAATCATATAAAGGAAGTATATCCACTGTAATTCTTCAGTTTCTTCTAATATATTTTTACTTTATACTAACTGTTTCCTGATTGGCTAATATTCTCAAGGTCATTTAAAATTCATTCAAAGGTCGTCCCTAAATTAGAGTCTCGCCGACATATCCTGGGTAAATTAAATTAAAAACCATATTACTTTACAGTAAGGCTTATTACCTATTCAAGTATTCAGACAATGTACTAATTAAGATAGAAATAGTAAAGATGTTTTGTTAAGTCTAACTATGCTTTTTATTTCATTCTTAAAGATACAAAATTACTGCGAGATCATATGGCCTTGATGAACTGCATGATTTCGAAAAAAGTGTTTAGAGGTTATAATAATTAATCCAAATGTCATCGTAAATTAAATATTTTTTTAATTATTGTTTTGAAACGTTTAGCAAATCAGTTTTAAGCAATGTTACTCGTATTTGGAGGTCTGCTAAAACAACTGTTTATCGTCATTTGACTGCTCTTAAAACACCAATGATGCTGGTGAGTTTGTTTTTAATTGCATGTATAAACGTCTGCTATGTTGAAGAAATTGAGTAACGTTAATTTTATGTCGAGTGCTTAAAAATAGTCTTGAATGGTAGAAATAGAGATAATGTTGAACAAATTATCTAAATTGTACCAACTTACTAAGTCGTGATCCTCACATGGTGTTCTCGTGTGTAATCTAAATGCTAAATTGGCAAGTTGAAAAAGAAAGACAACGGAATGTGTAGATTTTCTGATCAGTATAAATTGGATGATTCGAATAATTATCAGGTAACAGATAGTTTTTAGAATGTTTTCAATAATAGTTACTAAAACAAATTCTGTCTTCTAAAATCCATTCACAGTGGTGAACAATACAATACAGTTTTTTTTAATTTAGATCATTTGAGAGCTGGTATACACCGTCAGGAAATTAAAATTACTGAATTATTTTTTGTTTCATAACATTTAGAGATATCTTTACTTTCTGATGTGAAAAATTGCTTATTCGCGATTTCAAAGAGTTCAATTGGTGAATCTCTGCTGGTTTACTAGTTTTACTTTCACTTGGTGTTGTTTTACTTTTCACTGTTATTTAGGACTGCAATTGATCAGTCTCATGTTGGCATATGTGCATCCTGTGCGGATTGCCTCGATATAGCCGGCGTAAACATCAACTCTGCGATGCAGGTATATCCAGCTGACGAGTCCCAAATTGGACGAAACGCGCGTCCTGAATTTCGCTGCTAGCCACTATCCATCTTTGCTTACTAGTCTTACGTTGATAATAAGATTGTCAGTCAGTCAGTCAGCTGCAACGTAGGACCAGGCACGTATATGCATCGGTCCAAGTTGCCATACCGCACTAGCACAACAAGATGAACACCGGATTGATAGAAGTAGTTAATTCAGTGGTGGTAATATATAGAAGAAAGATTGTGTATAAGGAGATAGTACAGGAAGAAAGAATTAGTTCCTAGAAAGAAAGGTATGAAGTGATTTTAATCTCTTAATTTAAAGGAAGATTGTAAAATATTCTGAATTAATACATACATAAGTGTGTCATTTATCTATTGTTAAGAAGCAACTGACAGTAAAATATCTTTTCCGAACCTTTTTAAACTTAGAAAATGGCGAAAGAATACTTCAGCTGTCAAGAACTTGACGGTGTCGAACTTGATAACAACGATCAAATGTATGTTAGAGGTCATTTTCAAAAAAGGCTAATTGATGTGAGTTATTTGTGTGCGGCTTGATTTTTATATCATTATTTTATGAAAATATTTGTTTGAAGAAAGGATTGCCTGAACTTTTATGTGAAGCTATAACCAATGAAGTTTAATCATATGGAATGTGAAATAGTTTCCCATCAGCTACACTGAAAAATGACCAACGATGAACAGATTGGAGTTAAACATTTGAACTACTGAATACCGATTCAGTGGTCTAATGTTTAAGTTCTCACCATGAGACCTGAGTATCCTAGGTTCTATCTCCAACAGAGTCGTCGGTATTCACTGCTGAGTAGTCCCTAGAACGTGATAACAACTCAGTACTTCTTGATTTTCACTGAATATTTGATACAGGTCAATCAGTGATTTAAAATGCAAAACATGGCAAATAATGGTCATAACAACAGTATCACCTGATGAGTCTAAAATTATACAAAGTAGTGCTGAAGGGTTGCTGCAGTTGTCTTTCCTACATTATTCAATCTATTTGATTTCTGTATAAAACGTCGTCTTGATTATCAATGTTTGAGATATTATTTTATTTTGTTATTTAACTGGCGTCCTACTGATCTTTGGTAAACAAACAAATGAACTCAAACTTGTGCTACTCGACATAATAAATACATAAATTGGTCAAAATGATTACAAATATTGGTTTTGAAGAACCTGTCTAATCCTCTTCAATCTACTCTTTATTTTTACCATCACAATTATCTTCCCTTTTTTCCATTAATCATAGTAGTACTAGAAGCCATTAAAAGTTAGGATATTAAACTCTTTAGTTGTTCTAGGTTCCAAACAGACGGTTTATTTAGATCCAGTTTCGCAGCCACGAGTGACCGCACTTATTCACTGTCACCATCGACACAGGAAGTTTATGGCTGTCATGAATTCGGACCATCCTTGCAAGATTAAAATCTCCTAATGAAAAGCGTGACCCACTTGAATATAGGTGTTATCTTCAATCCCATGTTTACACGAATAACCTTCAAAACTTTACGAATTTCTGAACTGTAGTTGCAAGAAAGTATTAAATTAATAATATAACTTCTCTGTACACAGAATGAATTAATGACTCCTCTCCTTTCATCACGTTCATATATATCGAAAATCACACTTGGATTTTTCGAAGACACCGGGTAGGTCTAAATTTTTTATTTTACAATTAAATAAGATATGCTAAATCTTGGATTTTCAGATGCCTTAAGGGCTATATAAGTTCAGTATTTTTTCATAACACTAATTAAAAATTTGAGAAAACAGTAAATGCTGCTTGTATTTACTAGTTTGAACCATAAATTTAGGCAATTGAAAACCAGGTTTTCAATGGTGGTCTAACATCAATCGGTTCAATATCTCAATCAATAATATTTTTACGTTTTATGTTTTCAAAAACAAAAATGTTTATGTGTAAGTACTTAATTTGTTTGGGGAAATAAAATTTTTTTAATTACTCATAACTTCCTAGTAGGTAAAACTGAAATTTACTGTAAGAAAATGAAAAATTTTGTGAGATTTTCAATCCCAATTTTCTCGTTTTCATTCCATGAAGGTTGACTAAATTTAATACTCTCAGCTCCTTTACATTTTCGTAGTGTTACTTTCAAAGATACATTACTTTGACTTCGTAATCATTTCTTTATTAACTTAGATGGTATCACGTGAATTATTCAAGAGCTAATCCAATGGGATATGGTAAACATCTTGGTTGTGATTTCGTTATGAAAAGTTGTTATGAGTATATGCAAAGGCAACGACAAAGGTAATAAATTTATTTTTGAATGAAATCTTTTCTGTATGACAATTGTATAACTGATATAAAAATGTGTTTATTTTAACTATTTCACTAATACACTACTAATTCAAAAGTAATGGTTTTTATCCATTACTGAGTTTTTTTAATTGTTTGAACTGTATTCATTTGAGGGAGGTAAGTGCTCTAAGTGACAAAATATACGCTATAAAAACCGACATACTTTACAGTAGTTCTCTTTTACTGTCATGCTCGAAAGTATTGAAAAATCTGTTTTTATATAGATGCTAAAATAATAGCACCGGGAAATCGTTGTTCATTTCTGATTGAAAAAGTCCAAAAAAATTGCGAGGTAACACAGGCGTTCACTAAATAATCAACCGAAAAGTTTTCTTTTATTATAAAATATAGGTTTAACTTAAAGTACTCCAATAATACAGCGAATGTTATAACAAATGCTAAATTGTTACAAGAACTAAACAGCATGTGAATTATTGGTAATCTACTATAACTGTTTGCTTTTATGATTTCAACACATTATAAAAGTACAATTTTAAACTTTTATTCTTTTAGAGGACAAAGTTTTTACCCTTACTGTGATCAAATAAGCTTCAGTAACACTCTCTGTCTGAAGCATGAAAATGCATATGGTTTCTGCGATCTAAAGCAATATTATTTGCCTCTGCCACTTGAATTTCAGTACTTTGAAGATTCGAGACTTGGTGCAGCTGACCGTTACCGAGATTATTGTCCAGCTTATGTGGTTAAGTGATTTATATTTTTAATTATCATCATAATAACATAACTGTTCGTAACGTTTGGGCATAGGACTTACAAATACCTTCAATAGAAGCTATTAATTCAGATGTAATGTCAGAACTGCTGGTATCATTGCACTGTTTATTCCTCATCTTCATTAGATAGGATCCTTGGAACCCAGTGAGGCAAGAAGAATTTTTTCATTTTTAGTTTCTAGTTGCAGACCTGATAATAAAAGTACCTGGATTGTATCAAAACAACCATGGTAAGGAATTTAGTCGATTTAGTAAAAAAACATACTGATTTAAAATACTTCATAAAAAGGATTCTAAAAAAGACACTATTCATCTTTGAAGCATCCTCTATATACTGGAATTTACTAAGTTAGTCTGCTTAAGCGATGCATAAACAATAAATTGAGTAAAATTACTTTGTATTTACGATCTGAAATACTTAAATATCGGGATTAAAAATGCTGTTGGTCAATAGCCAATGTGAGCACTTACTGGCAAAGAGTAAGAATAGATTGAATAGAATATCACAACTAAAACAATATTCAAAGAAAACATCTGAAGAATCAACTTTAATAGTAATAAAACTACTGAAAACAGCCAAAAAAACATTGGGGTTTCACGAACATTCATTGTGAAATTTTTGAAAATTGAAAATAAAAATAAAAAATGAGGTTACTATCAAAAGGAAACCCATTTATTCATATTACCTTGAAGATGGTAACACTTCCAAGACAGACAATAGTACGATAAACAAAACATTAACGGAAGTCAGTAATAAATCTTTTTTTTGGAATTTTAGCCATTTACTGGAACGAGAAATGTTTATTCATATTGCGATACTCCTGAAAAACAGTCTGAAGTTCGTAAGTTGTAATGAATTATCCTATTTTGATCTTTTAATGACCATTAACAAAAACTACACATACTGTGTGGTTGACGAGCTTATTTTTAGTAAAATTTCAGAATTTTCAATATTTTCTAGTTTTTCGTTAGTTTTGTTACATTAACAAATAAAGCGGTCATTATATAGACTAGCTTTGATCCACTTATTTGAGTTATAGCTAGAGACTTTTTAAATGAAGATAGTTTTTATTAAAAATGAAAATGATGACTATTTAAAACTATGAAGAATAAGAAAAGTATTTCACTGTAGTTTAAGACCCTTCAGCACAACCATAAACAGATAACTTATACATTTTGCTTTAAGCACTGAATTCTAATTTAATGGTCACTATTTTTCAGTGGGAGTTATTTTAAAGTGCAGCACTATTCTGGTCCATTGTTAATTAATAATTAATGTCTCTTTTGATGAAGATCACTTACAAATCATTTCTCATTTGAACTCAGGGAAATCAATATGAAAGCTAGTTAATAGTGAGTGTATGATAATAACTCTAGTTTTGTGAAGGGAATATCATGTAAGTAGGAGCTTAAAACTTCATATTAAAAAAAATCGTTATGCATCAAACTCAATGAAATAACAGTTAGTAATAAACTTACATATCATCACTAAGCTTATATCACCTTGAGAACAGAAAGTCATTTCATAATATAGTAAGACAAATCTTTACCATTTCATTCTAGTTTTTGTAACAATATAAATCCTGCATTAAATTGAAAATCTAATCCATATGTATTATGAATGATAAAAATTGTTTTGGATTTCTTTTAAAGAAGAAAACAAAAACTACATGCTTCATTACTTTGGTACATCTTCTATGTGCATAAACCATGATAGTACTAAACACTGGCAAGTGTCTAATCAATATGAAATTTTCGATGAAACTGCACCAAAATCTTCATGCATGAATGTAAGCATCAAATTAAACAGTTAAAATATGATTATTGCAAAAGATTTGGTTCTGTTTTGTTTCCTTTAATGAATGCCTTATTGGTTGATTTTGTATGAATATACATTTTTGTTTAGAAATTCTGTACTGTTTTTTTAAAATCAGGTTTTGTGATTATTAACGTGATAAAAATAAACGGGCATGATTATTTGTTCTTTTTTAGTTTCATGACTAAACAATAAAGAATTTTATTTGTAAAAGGTATATCGTATTTTTTTATTTCATACTGGGAAAACAAAAAAAACATTTGTAATCAATATAGAATGTAACTATTCATTTTGGAATAACATAAATGAATACAAAGTTTAATATTTGACGAAGCATCTCTCTTCAAAATGTTTTATTGAATTTTCCAATGCACTATCTTTAATGCCATCCATTAGGTTATCTAACAGAAATGATTCATAAGTTATTCAATCTTTGGTTAGATTTTCCAAATTTTTGAAATCATTTTATTATAAATGTGTTATGAATCTTATTCAACTTTAAACTGTATTACAAATTATTAAGATATGAATATATAACTATTTCCTATAAACATTTTAATGTACATTATCTCGTACAAATGCAGTTAATAAAATTCAAGCTTTCAGTCAAATGTATTAACCGGTTATTAGATATCTTTACCAAGGTTCGACTTGATAATTTCGAATAACTTGAGCATTAAGTAGATTGTTATAAATAAATTAATATATTTGTAATATCCCAGTAAGTAAAAAAATTTAGATTTTCTAACGTTTCGTGACTCAGTGTAAGCCACTTCTTCAGAGAATACATAACCCAATTAAAATTATTCCAAGTTATTATTTATTCCTTGAAGAAGTGGCTTACACTGAGTCACGAAACGTTAGAAAATCTAATTTTTTTTACCTATTGGGATATTACAAATATATTGATTTATTTATATTGACCGGTTACTTTTTTAAAAGAAAATGTAATTGATATCTGTTTATACACTTCATGCTATAGAAAGAAGTGTTTTATATAATTAAAATAACCCATAGTGTTATTGAATAAGAAAGACAGAATTCAGCGAAGAAAATTTTCTTTTTGACGAAATCACTTACTTAAGCAGTACATTCGTATGTATAGTCATCTGGAAAATGTATGTCTATAGGAGGATAGAAAAGATTGCATCATAAAATGGATTCGAGACTAAATAACAAATGAGGTTACTTACTAATCAAGGGTTAGGAAGAAAATAGTTTATGGGTCAGATAATAGTTCAACTGACCGATATAAAGAGAAACGACAAACATAAAGGTCATAATAATAAAAACTGAATATCAGAACTATGTGGCAGATTCCGAACAATCTGATCACATATATACTTGTTAAGAACATTTATATATAAAATATAAAGGTCAACTAGACTCTTAGCCCATTTCCAGTCTAGTTGACCTTTTATTTTTATATATAAATGTTCTCAGCAAATAAATGTGTGGTCAGACTGTTCGAAATGTATTGCGCTAATATAACGCATAGTTCTGATAATCGTTGTCTTCTTCTTACATTATCGACAAACTGAAGCCGTGACCAGTGGAGTTCAACCAGGTCTGTCGTGAGATATCAGCTCACTGAAGACAATAGTGACGGTGGCTCAATTTCGTGGACTGGTTGAAGTTAGACATTAACACCGTTGGATGCCGACTCAGTGGTCTAGTTGGTTAAGCGCCTGGCGCGAGAGTGATAGGCCCCGGGTTCGAATCTCGCGGTAGCTGGGTCGTGGATGCGCACTGTTGAGGAGTCCTATACTAGGACGAAATGACCGTTCAGTGCTTCCAGGTTTTCTATGATTTCAACTACTGAAACTGAATAATAATAATAAAACTTAAGGCAATAATAATAACTGATCAGAGTTTAAAATTGCAACACTATAATTTGAAAATTAAAAATTTCAATAATAATCAAATAAAAGTTCAGAAAAAGAAACCCAAAACATAACCATTAAGGGATCCAAGGCCAAGGAAGGATGAGAGGTTGGACAAATCGTTTCTGCACGCAAAGTTCAGGCTTGAGTTCGTAGACTGCCAATGCCTCAACAGTGCATAAAATATTGATTCGACACCCCTTCAATCCCGTTCCTTTGACTCTGTAGATTACTTCAAAAGAATCTTTTGGTACGATGTATCCACAGTTAATTAAATGCTCCTGTATAAAACTAGTAATTGTTTTATATTCTCCTTTTAAAAGCCAAGCCGAAGAGTGTTCTGAGATGCGTTTGGACAGTGATCAGTTTGTGCGGCCTATGTAACGCGTTCCACATAAGCAGGTAAGTTTATAGATACACAATGATATAGTCTAAAGCGGAAGTTTATCCTTAACACATCCTAGAATGGTAGGCCGGCTAGAGAAAACAATTCGGAGCATGGCTACATAGAATGTTTTATTCAACAATTTTGAAATCCGTTTATTTAAGATTTCAGCAGCCGTGTCTCCTTTAAATTCCATATTCATAGTGTTTTGTATTATTTTCTAAAAATGAATATCATACTTTCTTACAAACTTACATAAATCATCAATTAATTTATATGTTAAGTGATTTATTTATTGTTGTATTATATAGCATATATGTTCTGAGAGTGAAGGATTGATCTTGATTATTGAAAATAAAGAACTTGTTTGTCCTATTAAAGGTAAATACATTGATTTCAATCTAAGAGGAAAGTACTTCGATATTAACGGTTCAATCATTTGTCCACCATGTAGAGATATTTGCAAAGTACGTTGTTTTAAATTTTTAATTTTATCGTATAGTAAATTATAACTAATACAAATGAACATATACTTGTACAAAAATACCATTTTAAATACGTTTCTTAGTCCACAATCTCAGTAATTCGAATCTCGTAAATTAAGGTGTAGAACACGAAATTACATGGAATTAATTGAATGAAAGATAGCGCTATTCAAGAATTATGATTATTATACAAAATTGTTCGGGCAAGTGTATTTAATTAACGAGTGGTAAATCTGTACCCAGTGAAAAATAAAATGCATTTTTTAGCTGATCACTGGATATAAATATTTTTTTCGTGTGAACCTGAGTTGATACAATTTTGAAGGCTTTTGATATTATGCAATTCTTTATGACAATATAACAATGTAATCTAGATAGTTACTGATATGTATTCATCAACTTCTTAAATTAAATATCTATCATTCAATATAGTACTACATGTAACAAGTATCACATGAAATTAAATTTTCCCAAACTAAACACTTTTTTGTAGGATTGAATGATTTATGAAGTTTAAAAAATACCAGCGATTGGACAGATGTTATAGCTGATCATTATGTCATATAGCAAATGCTTCGAAGTAGAAAATTTGGAGCATTGACTAAGTGTCCCACTGAAATTGGACAAGATGAAAACTGACTTTTAAACGGCAATTAATTCATAAAATAAAATATAGATTATAAATTTCATTTCATATTCCTATCTTACTTACTTACGCCTGTTACTCCTCGTGAAGGAGCATAGGCCGCTCACCAGCATTCTCCATCCAACCCTGTCCTGGGCAATCCTTTCAAGCTCTTTCCAGTTCTTATTCATCTTTTTCATATCTGCTTTTATTTCCCGACGTAATGTGTTCTTTGGCCTTCCTCTTTTCCGCTTCCCTTCAGGATTTTTTAAAGTTAAGGCTTGCCTCATAATGCAGTTTGATGATTTCCTCAATGTATGTCCTATCCATTTCAATCGTCTTTTCCTAATTTCCTCTTCAGCTGGAAGCTGGTTGGTTCTCTCCCACAAAAGGCTGATGCTGATGGTATCCGGCCAATGGATGTTGAGTATCTTGCGTAGACAGCTATTGATAAATACCTGTACCTTCTTGATGGTGGTTGTTGTAGTTTTCCAAGTTTCAGCTGCGTACAGTAGAACTGCCTTGACGTTGGTATTGAAGATTCTGACTTTGATATTGGTTGAAAGTTGTTTTGAGTTCCATATGTTCTTCGGTTGAAGGAATGCCGCTCTAGCTTTGCCAATCCTCGCCTTGACGTCTGCATCTGAGCCTCCTTGTTTATCGACGATGCTTCCCAGGTATGTGAAGGATTCTACATCTTCCAGAGTTTCGCCATCAAGAGTGATTGGATTGCTGTTCTCCGTGTTGTGTTTGAGGACCTTGGTTTTCCCTTTGTGTATGTTGAGGCCTACTGATGCAGAGACTGCTGCTATGCTGGCTGTCTTTATCTGCATTTGTTCGTGTGTATGTGATAGGAGGGCTATGTCATCTGCGAAGTCCAAGTCGTCTAATTGGTTCTGAGCTGTCCATCGTATGCCGTGGTTTCCCTCAGATGTCGAGGTCTTCATAATCCAGCCGACCACCAGAAGAAACAGGAAGGGAGAGAGTAGACAGCCTTGTCTTACTCCGGTCCTTACTTGGAACGCCTCAGTCAGCTGTCCTCCATGCACTACTTTGCACTGTAGTCCATCGTATGAGTTTCGGATAATATTGACAATCTTCTCAGGAACTCCGTAGTGTCGAAGAAGTTTCCATAACGTTCTCCTATCTACACTGTCAAATGCCTTCTCATAATCAATGAAGTTGATGTAGAGTGACGAGTTCCACTCAATTGATTGTTCGACGATGATTCATAGTGTCGCAATCTGGTCTGTGCACGACCGGTCCTTACGGAATCCAGCTTGTTGATCTCGAAGTTGAGCGCCTACTGCGTCTTTCATCCTGTTCAGTAATACTCTGTTGAAGACTTTACCTGGTATTGACAGTAGTGTAATGCCTCTGTAGTTTTCACACTTGCTCAGATCTCCTTTCTTTGGAATCTTGATGAGGTTTCCCTCTTTCCAATCCATCGGCACTTGTTCCTCCTCCCAAATCTTCTTGAATAGAAGATGAAGCATGCTTGTATTTACTTCGATGTCTGACTTCAACGCTTCAGCTGCTATATTGTCAGGTCCTGCTGTTTTCCCGCTCTTGATTTGTCTGATGGCCATTCTGATTTCTTCGGTCGTTGGTTTAGAGATCCATTCCTTGTGATGATGTTTCTTGGGGCCAAGAACCTCTTGACACGTTGAAGTTAATGTTTCTTTGATACCTTTCCAGCTATCCTCCATAGTAGTTTCTTCTTCCTTCAGTAGGTTCTGTAAGGCTTGGAACCTGTTGTTGAGAGCTACCTTGAATTCATTGAGCTTGTCAGTATCTCGAAGGAAGGCTGTATTGAACCTTTGTGGTGCTGTTTGTCCAGTTGTCCAGTTCTTCTTCCTATAGATAAAACAAATACAACTATTCATATTGTTCTCTTTTTATCTACAATGAATTGATTTACAATACCCGTATAAGATCATGTCACTAAAGGTTTTAATAGTATTTGTATTTAACTCCTTATCAAACAGTTAAAAGTTAAATTCATAATAAACTAACACTAGACATGCATCATTACTTTTAAAAGTAAATATGTTTTAATAAATTACTGGTATTGTCAAGGGATGTTATGTCATTTATGTTTTTTTCTTACTTATATCTAGAAATGTCCAAGTGGCTGATGTTGAACGGACCATTCAGTGGATAATAATTGTGATGAGATATTTCTTGCTTTATATAATAAAGTATACCTCAAATAATAGTGAATTATTTATGGGTAAATCTTTGACAATTAAAGAGAATTATTGATAGAAATCAAATAAATTTCTTGATTTAATCATGGAAGTAAACATTTTTTAAACTCTTATCCCTCTTATCATATATTGTGTGTCATTAAAAAGTTTCTTCTATAAAGTTATTCACTATCCGTTGATTTTTTTTTCATTTACAATTGCTATTGAACCTAATGTGAACCTAATCTATATCCTCTTTATAGGTTGATATATTTCATAGGGAAAGTTAGATTGTATTTTAAGAGATGAACATTAGAATAAACGATAAGTAATCTAATATCCACTATTAACTTATTAGCATAGTTGCAACTAAGGCATACAGTATCAGACACTGGTAAGATTTTAAATAGCAAATAATCATCTGATTATATTATCGTCTTATTCAAATGTTTGGAATATTTACCACATAAAACAGATGAAGTTTACCGTTTGCAGAAAACATAGAGACTCATCTTCCAACCCATCCTATAACCGAAGCGACTCAGCTCAGCATATGAGGAATCAGTAAATTAGTTTTTTTAATTTAGGCGCTTGATATAGAATAGGTGTTACAGATTTCAAAAGGTTTCAACCTATCAAACTGTTGAAATGAGATCATGGTTTTATTTTTAATCCAGGTCAATATATCCTTACATTGTATTTTCTTGATTTCAAGCTAATTCTACTTTAGGATCAAGGTAGAAGTCGGGGATTTCGGGAAAAAACTGTAATGACTTAAATATTGAATTCTGAGTCAAATTTATCAGTCTTATTTAAGATATCTAGCTTGAAAATAATCAGTATTTAATGGGTATATTACGCGAAACTCTTGTTAATAAACAACTACACGATAACTTCTACAGTATTGTGAAGTACATGTTTTCACAAGGCGGCCTGCTTGAATATCTGGGCTAACTGTTCCTTCCATCTGGATATTTCAACAAATTATCTGTTTTCTTGTTTATGTTAACACATCATTATGCCTATTAGTCTCATAACCTATTCAGGTGAGTTTGTGAAAAGTTTACATTTCGTTGTACAAGTTACAAAAGAGCTCAATCGGAGACATCGAGGCTGTTGGCAATATGCATCGAAAGGAATATACAATATTAAGATGTGGATTCCTGAACTGCTAACATCTAACTTGCGACGACTCAATATTTATGGTCAGAATCGATCAAGAAATAAGAAAAGGACACTTGTTGAAACTCTTTGTGCTGAGAATTCTATATTGCATCAAAAATATAATATTCAATAAAGCCACTAATAATATAACATATCAAGTTTATATTTCAGTACTACAAGCCAATATGTCTGAATCCGAAGTTGTTGATGTTTCTAATCAATACTTCACAAAGCTGACTCGAGACTTACTTACTTACTTACGCCTGTTACTCCCAATGGAGCATAGGCCGCCGACCAGCATTCTCCAACCCACTCTGTCCTGGGCCTTCTTTTCTAGTTCCATCCAATTCTTGTTCATTTTTCTCATATCTATCTCGATTTCCTGGCGTAATGTATCCTTTGGTCTTCCTCTCCTCCTTCGACCTTGAGGATTCCATATGAGGGCTTGTCTTGTGACGCAGTTGGGTGTTTTCCTCAATGTGTGTCCTATCCACTTCCAGCGTTTCTTCCTGATTTCTTCCTCCACTGGGATCTGATTTGTTCTCTGCCACAGTAGGTTGTTGCTTATAGTGTCCGGCCAGCGGATCTGAAGTATTTTGCGTAGACAACTGTTAATAAACACCTGTATCTTTTGGACGATGGATTTCGTAGTTTTCCAGGTTTCCGCCCCATACAGTAGAACTGTCTTGACATTTGTATTGAAAATTCTGACTTGGGTGTTGGTTGCTAATTGTTTTGAGTTCCAGATATTCTTCAGTTGTAAATATGCTGCTCTTGCTTTGCCAATCCGTGCCTTCACATCTGCATCAGATCCACCGTGTTCATCGATGATACTGCCCAAATATGTAAAGGTTTTTACATCTTCCAAAGCTTCTCCGTCAATTGTGATTGGATTGGTACATGCTGTGTTGTATCGAAGAATCTTGCTTTTCCCTTTGTGTATATTGAGACCTATTGCTGCTGAGGCTGCAGCTACACTGGTTGTCTTCTCCTGCATTTGTTGTTGTGTATGCGATAGAAGAGCCAGATCATCTGCAAAGTCTAGATCA